TTTAAAAAAAAAAAAAAAAAGAATAAGAAAATCACACAAATGAAAATAATGTCAATTTAATAAAAATATAATGAAATAAAAAAAAAAATTATATATATTATTATAATATAATAATAATAATAATAATAATAATTTAACAAAATTATATATTTAATAATAAATAAGAAAAAAAAAAAACAAAAATAAGATTAACAACTTCATACATCTAATTGCTGTATAATTAGCTACCATCATTTACAAATTTATGATAAAAAAAAAAAAAAAAAACAACAACAACAATCTGAAGATTTATCTCTAAATTAATAATAAAACAAAAAAAAATTTATTTATATTAGATTTGATTTAAATAAATATCAAATATATATTAGAAGTATAAATTTGAGAAAAGTCATGAACTAAAGTGTCATTAATGACCTTAGCACGTCGTAGGGTGCTTTTTTCAATTGGCGTCTGGGATGCGAGAGTGAAGACGACGATGATTGGCGTTGTTCGTTTGAAAATGATTGTGGGTGTAGTAAACGACGTAATAAAAAAAGGATGCTTAATTTATTACTGTCCTGTAACCCATCTTTTTCTCTCTCTCTCTATCTCTCTATCTCTCTCTCTTTCTTTCTTTTCCTTTCATATTTGCCTTATGTCCATACAGAAAGAATATGCATTATATGTGATATTTATTTTACGTACATCTTGATAAGGTCAAATTTAATTAATCCGTTAATCTATTGATCCATTAATTCGGCTTTAATATATTTGGTCAGAATTTTTATGAACATTTTTTTTTTCAAAAAAATTCTATTTTATAAAAAAAAAAAACAAACAATCAATATGAATGAGATTAATATCGTTCGATAGAAATACTATTTTAGGAATATGTTAATTAAATTATTATTATAATATAGACAAGAATATGTTGTAATAATAAATTGATATACAGCATATGTATTGAAATTTTACTAAATCATTTAAAATGCATATTAATAGTTTTTGAATTAGATCGATGTCGCATTGATAGTTTGTTATAAATAATGATTCATTTGTTTTTCAAAACACCAACTCAATAAATAGTAATCTAGTTGATTAATTATTATTATTATTATTATTATTAATTGGCATTAGAAACTCGAAAGTTCATTGCTGCAAATACCAAATCCCGCCATTGTACCCGTCCCTGAGCGCAATTCTTCCATTCGCGGTCTTTGTATTCTATTTTTTTTAAGGTCCCTTCTAATATTATCCTCATCTGATTGATTTGAATAATATTTAAAATTATAATATAACATAACTATTACGTCAATACTATAATATAATATAATATTATATTTCTTTATACAGGGTGATTCATGAATTGATATTGAAACAATACATTGTTACATTCTCCTTATATAATTTCAAATATCTTCTAAACTATTGACATTTCGATGACCTTCACTTAATACTTTTTAACGCAGAATAAAAAAAGGAATCGAATGGTGTGAAAAAAATTGTAAGGTTGCGTTTAAAAAAAAAAAAAAAAGTGCAACTGCATCTAGCGGGTGCATCGATGCATTTTCAAAAAAAAAAAAAAGTAAGATCATATAAAGTTGACATTTGTTTGTGCCATATAACTTTTAAAAAGTTATTACCCGTCTCCGTTCCAAGAATCACCCTGTATAAGGTAATATATTAGAACGCGATTTAGATGGTCAGAAACAAACAGAACAAAAGTAAAAGTACTTTTACACGACACTGTATGTCAATCAGAATGTTGGTAGGTGTCCAGAATAATGGTAAGTACGAAATGACAACGTAAAGGTTTCTCTGGTAGCACTTAACCACCTGCTGACTTGTTTTCTTCTTTTATTTCTTTTTTTTCTTTCTTTTTTTATGTAAAAGAATAAAGCATGTGTTCGATTATCCATATTTCGTTATAACGCATTACTTACTTTTTACACAATATATTAGTGTTTTCTTTTATTTTCATTATATCTTACATATTCCAAATTTTTTATTCACTATGGATCTATTTTTTTTTTTTCTAATTGCATCTTTTTAACAGGTAAAATAATTTAATTAAAATATATCCAGTTAAGTTATGTTAGATTCCTGTTTTATAGAACGTCGGTAATAATAAATTCTTGTTTATCGACTATCAGCAAAAGTCAATTTTTGCATCATATTATCTTAAACAAATTGAAAATACATCATCCACCGATTCCCATCATATCTGATGTCGGGATTTTGTTCTT